ATATATATATACACACACACACATGTATGTATATATATATATATATATATATATATATATATATATATATATATATATATATATATTTATTTGTTTATTCATTTATTTATTTAAACAACAGTTCTGTGCTATTATTACAACAGTAATAATTAATCATTGAATTCAATTAATAATTGAATAAATAAATTATTTAATTAAAAAACTAATTAATTGAATAAATAAATAATTTTAATAAATAAATAAATAAATACATTATTTAATAAATAAATAAATACATTTCATAATTAAATAAACAAACAAACAAACAAATAAGGAAAGTGGACAAAACAGATGGATTAAAACAGCAGGTGTAAACAGGGCTGTGCTTTCCTTCCTGTATCTAACAATTTGGACAGCGGGTCACGGTCTCACCTTCGCTGTGTGGGCTGCCGACGCTGCCTCCGCCTGCAGTGAAGCTGTAGCCGGGCTCGTGCACTGGATGGGGATTGTATGGGTGAGGAATCGGATACTGATAAGGGAAAGCGAGTGGCCAGGGAGCCACTCCAGGATGGGGCAACGGAGCAAGAGTGTCCTGGTCAGACGCTCCACTAGAACCGTCATGATCATGCAGGGTGAGACTCGCCATATCTAAGGCACAAACAAGAGGGAAACAGAGTTTACTCTAAACCAAAGAATAAAGTAGGGCTGCACGTTATTATATATAGCCCTAAAATAAAGCATGCTTCAGTGTGAGAGAGTGGGGAGAACAGCTGAAGAGGAACTCACTGCCACAGACGTCTCCAAAGATGTAATAGCACTGCTCAGAGAAGGTGATCTTGTTGACGGTGTGGCGGATGTAGCCGGCTTTCAACAGGTTACTGGCGTATTTGCGAGCCTCCCGCCGGTCAGTGAAACCCTCAACGCGATGATACAGCCAATCCACCACATCCGAACCTGATTCATATCAGATAAATATTCAATATTAGACTGTTGTTCCAGGAGAATATACACAGTCAAATTTCATCACATTACCTACACTGTAAAAATGAGTTTTCATCTTGTTTCTAGTCCAAATATCTAGAAATTCTTAAATCAAGCAGCATTTTTGGATAAGCAAAAACTATTGTCTTGTTTTCAGAACTAACAAGTCAAAATTAGGTGAGTTTTTCCTTTAAAAAAAATAAAATAATCTGAGAAAATTAACTTATTTCAAAGCGAAAACTAGACAATTTTGGTTATACCATTGGCAGGTTATTTAGCTTGTTTTAAGGAAAAACTCACTTTATTTTGACTCATTATTTCTTAGGTGTCAAAAGTAATTGTTTCTTCGGTGCACCGCGATGCAGACACAAACAATTCGATATCGGTTCAGTAATAATCATAACCGTTTATTACGTAATGACGTCATTTATCTCCTATGCGCGATGTCGCAGTTGAATACTATGGTGAAGGAGGCGAGGGCAACTAAATAAAACGCTCCTACTAAAAAGGTAGATAATTATGCACAATTCAACTGCTTTGAGTTTGCTGGAAAGTCTTTCATTGACACTGAAGAAGGCACAGCAGACGAGCCGCTATTTCACTACTAGGGAGAAATGCTGTAAAACTCCATCTCTGCCTCTCTCTCCCTCTCTCTCTCTCTCTTTCCCTCTCACTTTGGACATTTGAGCCACTGGCTTGTTTGTGACGTAATTTTTCCTCTCCTCTTGGCTGTTAAAGCGAAACTTGTGAATCCAGACATGAGCGTGCCTGAGGTGCAAGTTTTCTCCACTGTGTCTATTATGGATTACCTGTGATAACCGTGTATTATGCGCATATAGACTGTAACCGCGGCTGTTTCTCCCGCGTCACTCATTGGTGAACAGCGCTTTCGTTTCTAAAGCCAATTGCAGCCCTTTCTGTTGAGTGAGTGAAGACAATGACTAATCACATTGCTTGACAGCTCTCAAAAAGCAAGCGGGATAATATTTAAGGATTTAGGTGATCAAAAGTCGCTGTTTGGAGCTACAGTTCAGAGGCCTACAGTTCAAAATTCATGTTTAACTGAATAAACAGTTAGTAAACACAAGTAAATCTTATTGAACATCATTTATTTTCATCACCAATTATCAGAGTAGAACAGTTTCTCAAGCAGTTTGTGAATATTTTTTGCAAACCAGGAGATAAGCCCCTTGTGTAATGCGCCACCTGGCTTGAGAAACCCATTCTCATAGACTTATTTGGGTAGCACACATATTCTGAATGCCTTTGTCAGAATTCAAATGAGCCGTTCGAGATTACAGTGAGATTAATCTAGATTAAAAAAATTTATTTATGCTCACCTATAGTTAAAATACTTCATAATTTTTTACCCTTAGTAACTGATGAATCAAATCCCTGGTCACATTACTCGTGTTTTCTGGAATCTGTGTGAAGCACCTGTTCTACAGTGTAGATTAGTTTCTTACATTCTAGGAGTGCAGTGGGGGTGTAGATTTACCTATGAAGGCGTTGGGGATGGTGATCTTCAGCCACATTCTGTCCCGCACCTCCAGGCCCGACTCTGGCGATGCCATCGCTTTGGCTACTGCTGCCATGTCACTATGGATAGACAGATGGAAATCCTCGAACCCTGCAGAGAAACACACAGTGAGAAGGGGCACAGAAGTCTACAGATGAGGGCGAATTACAGAGAAGTGCTCTGTGAGAACATCATGGTGTTGTAGCCATTATCAACTAATCCTATGGATGCTTGTATGTCACCATAGCATAGTGGTTCTTAATTCTGGTCCACTCTCCACATTTTGTTTGTCTCTCTTATTTGACACAAAGATCAGTTCATGGATCTCTGTTAATGAGCTGATGATCTGAATCAGGTTTGTTAAGAAAGAAAGACATACAAAATGGGCAGGACTGGGGAGCCAGAGGACTGAAATTAAGAACCACTGCCACCATAGCGGCAGGTTCAAAACTCCAATGGCAGACGGCTGCTTCTCACTCAGGGCTGTCTATGCTATTGAGGAAGAGATCATCACTAATGGGTGGGGCTTTTCCACTCTGGTGACACGTACAAAGCGAGATTGTCAATCAAAAGTGTTTCTGCAGATTATTTTTTTATCAAGCGTGATTATAAAAAATATAATTTCACCGTATTTATCATTAGAGGCTGGTTATATTCACACAATGTTTCCACACAACTGTGTTTAAATCCCTTATAAAAGTTACTTTTGCAGTGAAACTATTGAACAATACCCGTTTTTGACAATTTTGACAAACTTTTCTGATCCACTTCAAACACTACAGTGAGTACGGAAAAGTGGTGTATTGGATCACAAATCTCACGGGTTCGGATCAGTGTAGTTTTTTAGTCATGGATCGGATCATTTTTCAGATCAGCCAAAAAGGGGAGTAGACAAATGTAATTTGCTTTCTATTCATTACGAAAACAGCACTGCAGAACACCATTGGTTTAACAAACAGAATTTAGGATCTGTAATTTGATTAAAAAATAAATGAAGAAATAATCATTTGAATAAAATTAAATTCTAAAATATATTAAGTACTGTGACAAGTTACTACTATTGGTACTGATAATGCTAAATGTAGAAATCTAACATAATTTGTACAGCCTTATTTATTTTTAGTCTCATTTTCAGTAAATGATTCAGTTCTTCACTCATAAAACTTCATGTTTCATTGCTAGATGTATTATTTTTGAGGAATTATTTAGTGGCATATTTTTGATGGCTGGTTGTCGTCACCTATGTGTTAAATAATGTCATTTCTGCTACAACTTCTATTTTTGAGCGTATGATGGCGATTGTAATCTTTACCATAAACATTAGTGGTTTTATCTAAACTATTCTCCCAGTACGGCTGAGTTATTTAACTGTTCATAACTTCATGACTAACTCAAAAGGCTAACAACTGAATCTCTTTGTTGATTTTTGTGTTTTCAGATTTGATTACAGCAATTTGAAGGATTAATAAACATATGCAAATCAGCATCATGTATAATTTATGTTGCGTGGGTGTCGAGATCCCGCTCTTTAAATGATTAATTGTGCAGCTTACACTAGATGCATTAATGCAGGCTAAACAAGTAGTGACAGAAAACACCTTTAATGAAACCCACCACATCCCGAATAACCCACCGCAACTTCTTTCATCATCATTATATTTTAAAGAAAATCCTTAATGCTTTCATACATGTGATTTGAATGACACAACGATGGGTACAACTTTAGGACTAATCTACAAGTAAACATATTAATCCACGGGTCACGTGTGTTCCAAACCATGGGTTGTGATCCATACAAATCACGGATCAACCGTGATCCGTTACACCCTTGATACGGAAAGTATTCACACCCTCCTAAATCTTTCACTCTTTGCTATATTGCAGCCATTGCGGCAAAGTACAGGGATATCCTGGATGAAAATCTTCTCCAGAGTGCTCATGACCTCAGACTGCACCAAATGTTTACCTTCCAACAAGACAATGACCCTAAGCACAAAGCTAAAATAAGAGTGTCTTCACAACAACTCGACTGTTCTTGAATGGCCCAGCCAGAGCCCTGACTTAAACCCAATTGAGCATCTCTAGAGTGACCTAGAAATGGCTGTCTACCAATGTTTACCATCCAACCAGACATAACTGGAGAGCATCTGCAAGGAGGAATGGCAGAGGATCCCCAAATCCTTGTTGCATCTTTCCCCAAAAGACTCATGACTGTATTAAGTCAAAATAGTGCTTCTACTAAATACTGAGCAAAGGGTCTGAATACTGAGGTCATACTTTTCTTTTTATTAAATCTGCAAAAATGTCAACAATTCTGTGTTTCCCTGTCAATACGAAGTGCTGTGTGTACATTAATGAGGAAAAACAATTAACTTAAATGGTTTTAGCAAATGGTTGCAATATAACAAAGAGTTAAACATTTAAAGGGGTTTAAATACGTTCTGTACCCACTGTATATACTACTTCTATAATAACCTCTCTTGATCAAGCTTACAAAGTGTGCTTATTTTCCACAGTTGTAGTCGATGCTCATATAAAATGGCCGGTTTTCATTAGACATTTCATGTATTTTGTTCACAGATATTTATTTTTCATTGGTCAGTTGTTAAAGGCTACAATTGAAACACAGTAAGCGGTGGACTGGCAGATGAAGTGGTCCTCTGGCGACAGACAGCAGGACAGAGGTGGATTATGGGAAACACTTACGCTCAGTCTCTGGAATGGAGCTTGTGATGGAGGAGCTGGTGGAGGTGATTGTGCTCATGGAAGGGCTCATACCGTACACTGGGTACGCCCCCGTCATCGCCGCCGTGTGGGACACCCAGGCTGCAGGGTCTATGGGACGGATCGGCTCACCTGAACAGATACGGGGGGAATGAATGATCACTGTAGATGGTAACAAATGAGATGGTTTAAAACAACAGTTCATGTTAGGGGTGGGCGATAAGAAATAAATCTTATTAATATGCAGTTTAATTCAAAATCTGTAGCCATCGTGTGAAATATTAATTTTTCCCAAGTGTTGTTTAACGGAGGGATTTTGTCAACACATTTTTTGAACATAATAGTTTTTATTGACTAATTCTTATTGTCTTTGTCATGATTACAGTACATAATATTAAATTTAATACATTCCATTAATCGTATTAATTTTTAAAGTGCAATTTAAAGACTTAATTAGGTTAAATAGGCACGTCATTGGACAACAGTGGTTTGTGTTGTAGCCAATTCGAAAGACTAAATGAAATAAGACTTTGAGAAAATTATAATAGTAAATACTGTGCACATTTTCACTGTATATTGTCTTTAGGTAGGTCACTGAGGTCTTCTGATGAATTTATTCTTTCTATACCAAGGTCCCGGTGTAAGGGAAGTGGGGATCAAGCATTTGCTGTTGTCGCCCCAAAACTCTGGAACTTGCATCCACCCCACATTAGACATGTTCCAACCCCTATCTGTTTTTAAAAAGCGTTTGAAACGCCATCTTTGTTCCTTAGTATTCAAGCCTTTTTAATGTTGAGGGGTTTGCCTTATGTTTTAATTGTTATGTATGTGATGTAGATTTTATTTTTAGTATTGATTGTGTTCAGCACTTTGGGCAACGTTGTGTTGTAAAAAATGTGCTATATAAATAACCTAACTAATAAACTAACTAACTAACTAACTAACTAACTAACTAACTAACTAACTTTATGATGTGAGAAATGATAATGAATAATAATGGATTTTTTTTAGATAATTATATTTAAAATAATTATAAAAAACTGGCTAGTTTTTGTTTAACATGAAAATAAATATGGCATTAAAACAGCCAGCAAGTCCCAGTCTTGACGAGCGATTCATTAAATCACGGATTCAAATGATTCACTCAATAGTAGATTCATTTGTGAATGAATTAATACAGTGTGCAGAGCTTCAAGACACAAATGTTGTGCTTTGATTCAATAAAAGCCCAAAAAACAGAGATTATTTGTTTATCTTGTGCAAAGTAAGCGACATACTTGATCATTTCAGCTTACACAAGGTTAAAACAAAAATAACTATATTATTGTAGATGTGAAATATTTTACATCCCCATATCATACCTTCATATCTCTGTATCACTTACTTCGTGGAAGAGTGAAACAGCTACGAGGGTTTGGATCCCAGCATTTGGCTACGGTCAGTGTAATCGGTCTACAAATGAACATGCGGAGCAATCGTGATGAACATCAGTGCTGATTTAAATGTATTTGCATAACCATAATACATAACCACAAAACAGAGAACCACAAACTCTTACCCAGGTTTATGGACAATCTCTCGCAGGACCCTCACTGCATCATCATTACTCATGTTCTCAAAGTTGATGTCATTCACCTATAGCAAAAAACAGTCAGCAAAAAATCAGTACAGCTAAAAGCGACATTATTAGCCCTTTTAGCATATTTGTATCTTATTTCAAATATTTCCAAAGTCCTGTTTAAGTATTATTTTACAGTATTTTCTATGAATTTTTTCTTAATTATTTTGGTTTGACTAGAATACTTTTTTGGTTTATTTTATTTTAAAGATGCAGTATGCAAGTTTGACACCCAGTGGTTGAACTAGGTATTGCACCCCTGGTTCAAAACACGCAAACGCAGGTTGCCAGATATCAACAAGAGCTATCGAGCCTAAAGGCTGATTTAAGTTGCGTTTTAAGTAAAAGCAATGGCACGTGATAGAAGGAATACTTTCCATATTAAAAGAAGTTTTTGTCCTAACCAACACCTCGAATTGATATATTAGAAACGGCATCTATTTCTCACAGCTGAACAACAGGATAAACTGACAATGATCACCTCAGGTATACCTCATGTGCTTTATTCAGAGTTAAATGCTAACAATGTGAGTTTGAATGGCATTTTACAAGACATTTATCACCATACTAATGAAAGCAGCAGCAGATGGTTCACCTCAGATCTTGAAAATAAAATAAACTGATTGAAATTGTACTTTAAAACTGTGACTCAGTGCAAGCCAACATATATCAGTGATTTAGCATCTACATTTAATAATGTCAAAGAGGTTTAATATGTATTAATTAGATTATAAAGCTTACCCTTGCATTGGAGTGCAGTGAGTGCACTATTCTGTGCTTCTGAATGGCTGGATTTACATTTCTGTCGTGTTTCACCTGGTGCAAACAGCCAAATTGCTCATCACTGCAACTCTCGTCACGTAGCGTGTTGTTAGGACACAGGGTTACAATGTAACCTGCTCAACTAATGTTTGTGTTTGTAATGTTTATATTTTTTGCAAATTACTAACCACCCCATGTGGAACTCTGAATCTCCGTCTCATTTTGGAGTCTGCTACTGTCCACCAGAGGTCGCATTTCGGTCGCGGACGCATACTCATTCATGACTGAATAAATGAAATACCCTGTTTACCACCAAGGCAACCCGGGGTGCTGAAATATAATTGGCTAAACTGTCATTGGGCGGGTTAAAATTACCAAAACAAAGACACATTTTCAAAACAGAATATCTGACTTCAGCGTTGTTTTTCAAATAAACTAGAACGTTCACTTAGCATGTTTCTTAAATATCTGCAAACATATTATAGTATTTTTATGCTTTATACGAGTCAAAAACTTTTAAACAGCACCTTAAAAAAACAGCTTAAGGTCATTATTATTAGCCCCTTAATAAATTCTTAATAAAAACAACTAGTAAAATATTATGTACAGACATCATGGCAAAGTTATTAGGATTTAGTTATTAGAAATTTGGTAGTAAAACCAGCTTGTTTAAAAACATGTTGACATTTTTTTCCTCTCCGTTAAACAACACTTCGGAAATATTTGAAAAAGAATACAATTTCACAGGATATATATTATTCATGTTGTATTTTGTTTGCTAAACTGAAAATGTAAACCTTTGTCAATTTGTATGACAATGTTTAAACTAAAAAAAATAAATAAAAAAAAGTCACAGGAGGGCTAATAATTTAGTTTTTAAGAGTATACGTTGAGCAGTGAAGTCAGACCTGCAGAAGCATGTCCCCAGGCTCGATGCGTCCGTCAGCAGCCACCGCTCCACCCTTCATGATGGAGCCGATGTAGATTCCTCCATCACCCCTCTCATTACTCTGCCCGACGATACTAATGCCCAGAAAATTATACTTCTCTGTTGCAAGAGGACGATACAAAAACAAGATAGACAGATGAAAATCGAAGTACAAACTTACCATATGTATAGCAACCATGACAACAACAACAAAAAAAGATGGAAGTTTTTCCAATTAGTTGCAATTCGGAAATTCGGAGGTCTGAAAATCCAAACTTCTGAAAACAAGTTTTGAAAAATCATAGTATTATATTAAATAACACTATCATTTAGTCATTCATTCATTGTCCTTTGGCTTAGTCGTTTGCTGTTTGTTCAAACTACTTATTTAAAATGAGCTGAAACAACACAATTCTTGAAGTTTTTTTTTGTGACAACTTAATTGTTTCATGTTCAAATTTATAAAAACTAATAAGTTCACTTTACTCCTTCATGTTGTCCCAACACAAATCGATTGTTTTGTGAAGCAAAACTTAAAAAAAAAAATCAACAATGCCACCAATCCTCACTTACGATTTAAAGCTCTGATGTTTGCTTACAAAGAGACTTCTTGTTTTACTTCTTCTTATCTGCTCTTACTTTTGCAGATTTATGTGCCCTCCAGAAACTTGCGTTCTGTGAATGAACGTCCAAGTTATTGTATAACAGTGGTTTGTTTTGTAGACAGTCGGAAAAAAAAATAGCTTAAAGGGGCTAATGATTTTGACCTTAAAATATATTTTTAAAAATTTAAAACTGCTTTTATTCTAGCCGAAATAAAACAAATAGGACTTTTTCCAGAAGAAAAAATATTATCAGACATGCTGTAAAAATTTCCCTGCTCTGTTAAACATCATTTGGAAAATATAAAAAAAAGAAGAAAAAAATTCAAAGGGGCTAATAACTCTGACTTCAACTGTATGTACATTTTACTGGATATTTTTCAAGATAATAGTATTCAGCCTAAAGTGAAAGTTAAGGACTTAACTAGGTTAATTGGGTCTTTTAAGCAAGTTAGGGTAATTAGGCAAGTCATTGTTTAACAGTGGTTTGTTCTGTAGACAATTAAAAAAAATATATATTCTTAAAGGGGGCTAATGATTTTGACCTTAAAATGATATAAAAAACTGCTTTTATTCTAGCCGAAATAAAACAAATAAGACTTTCTTCAGAAGAAAAAATATCATAAGAAATACTGTGAAAAATTCCTTGCTCTGTTAAACATCACTTGGGAAATATCACAGGAAATAAATCACAGGAGGGCGAATAATTTCGACTTCAACTGTATACAAAGCAAACGTGCACATACTCACCCATGTTTAAAGTGACAGTGATGATGTTCAAAGACATGGTTGAGTCAGTAATGCTGCTGAACGATGAGGACTGGAGAGAAAGAGACACGAGGACACATTTAAAAACACTCAACAATGATACGCACGTGAGGTTTTCATCAGACACAAAAGTCTCACCCTCTCCATCCTGGGTGCTTTGGGTTTCCGTCTGCGTCTGCGATGGCGTCTCATGAGACGGGACGATGTGCTTTGCTCGGTGGAGCTGCTGAACCTGTAGTGGCATCACAGATTAATCGTCAGAAATCATGCATTTACTGTCTTTCCTATACATTTTGAGCTCTCTGCTTTGATTGGTCGCGAGAGTCAAGTGACTCCCACCAGCCAATCGTCTGCATAAGGGTGGTTGTGTGTGTGTCAGAGCATGGAAAAGCATGCTTTGTGTTGGCTTTCCAGAGCATGTGATTTGAAAGTGCATTAAGGCGCCTTTATAAGAAGAACATGTATTTAAAGGAGCCATATGCTACACTCATATGCTGATAACTGCAATTATACAGGCTCAGGGTACCCCCGGGAAACCGGAGCACCCGGAGGAAACCCCCAACATGAGGAGAACATGCAAACTCCACACAGAAATGCTAACTGACCCAGCCGGGATTCAAACCAGTGACCTTCTTGCTGTGAGGCGACAGTGCTAACCGCTGAGCCACCGTTTATCCTTATTGTCAAATTGTCTGGTAGTGTGAAAAAACTGAGCAAGAACAGTCAGGAATTGACCTGCTGGCGGAGTCGTCGTCCTCTGAGTCGAAGAAGCTGGTGGTGTCCAATTCGCTGCTCATCAGTGTGGATGAGCTCTCATATCCGGCGATGTCCGGCCGGCGCTCCGCTCGAGAGTGACCGTTCAGCCGACCTCCTGCAACAAACAACACAACACATTAATTTAACTCATTAACACTCACTAATTAAACAAGCCCGATGCGGTTACACACTCGCTAAACAGCACATTCACATTACAAAGCGTCATTTTTGTGATACTCTACAACAGACATGTCCAAACTCGGTCCTGGAGGGCCGGTGTCCTGCAAAGTTTAGTTCCAACCCTAATCAGACACACCTGGGCTAGCTAATCAAGCTCTTACTAGGATTTCTACACTGAAAACCCTAATATAAGTTGACTGAACTCGTTGCCTCAATTTAATTGAGAAATGGAGTCTCCCAAAACTTGCATATTTAAGTTTATTTACTTAGTACTAAGTTTGGTATATATATATATATATATATATATATATATATATATATATATATATATATATATATATATATTTTTTTTTTTTTTTTTTTTTAAAAGTCAGAATTATTAGCCCCCTTCAATTTTTTTGCTTTTTTAAATATTTCCCAAATGATGTTTAACAGAGCAAGGACATTTTCACAGTATGTCTGATAATATTTTTTCTTCTGGAGAAAGTCTTATTTGTTTTATTTCGGCTAGAATAAAAGCAGTTTTTAATTTTTTAAACACCATTTTAGGGACAAAATTATCAGCCCCTATAAGCCGTATTTTTTCTCGATAATCTACAGAGCAAACCATCTTATATATTAACTTGCCTAATTACCCTAACCTGTCTAGTTAACTTAATTAACCTAGTTAAGCCTTTAAATGTCATTTTAAGATGTATAGAGTTGGGTAGTAATTAATAATAAGTTATTAAAACTATTATGTTTAAAAATGTGTTGAAAAAATCTGCTCTCCGTTAAACAGAAATTGAGGAAAAAATAAACACACTGCAAAAAATGCTTTTCTTACTTAGATTTTTTGTCTTGTTTCTAGTCCAAATATCTAAAAATTCTTATATCAAGAAACATTTTCTAGGCAAGCAAAATATATTGTCTTGTTTTCAGAAATAATATCCCAATATTAAGGGAGTTTTTCCTTGAAACAAGCAAAATAATCTGCCAATGGGGTAAGCAAATTAATCATGTTTTTCCTTTTGACATAAGATTATTTTGCTTACCCCATTGGCAGATTATTTTGCTTGTTTTAAGGGAAAACTCACCTAATTTTGGCATATTATATCTTAAAACAAGGCAGTATGTTTTGCATGTCTAAAAAATTCTTCTTGATTTAAGAGTTTTTAGATATTTGGACTAGAAACAAGACAACAAATCTAAGTAAGAAAAGCATTTTTTGCAGTGCAAGCAGTGTAATAATTCAGGGGGGCTGATAATTCTCACTTCAACTGTGTGTATATATACATATATATATGCATGTGTGTGCATATGTGCAATAACATACTATGAAAGAATGTTAAATGAATTCAAAACAAAAAATAAGGAGCCATTTATTCACATTATGATGAATAATTAAACCTGAACCCATTTGTTTTCTGATTTAAAAAAAGACCCTGCACTTAAAAGGTTGCACATATTAGAATTTTACAGTCAAGACTACATCTGTGAAAACTACCTATTTTTTTTTCAAAGGATTAATTATGACTTTGAGCTCACTACACATGAAATCTTAGGTTTATGCATTTTCATGGTACATAAGTTAAATTAACTCATATTTTTCTGTGATAGGACCAAAATGCTAAATTTTAAGTTATGTTCAGTCAACTTTACTTCATTGTTTAAGTAAAGACAACATTAGGGTTTAAAGTGTAGAAACATCCTTGCAGGTGTGTTGAGGCAAGTTGGAGCTAAAATCTGCAGGACACCGGCCCTCCAGGACCCAGTTTGGACACCCCTGCTCTACAACTTTAATTCATATTTTTATATTACTGTGAGGGGTGGGTTTAGGGTTGGGGTAGGGGTAAGATGACATTAATAAAATACAAATAATAAGTAATTTAATACAAAATATAAATAATTCTCATTATAATTACTGTTTTTACATTACTGTAACTCTTTTGGACACTGTACAACAATAATTAATATTTTTACATTACTATTATGAGTAGGATTATGGTAGGTGTAGGGGTAGACATTAATAAAATAAACTTTATGGGGAGTTTAATAAACAATATAAATAAATCTCGTCAACGTCCTGCAGCTGTATCCCTTCTAGCAACAGCCCAGTCGTATGGGTGAACTGACCATGGTCATGTGTGTCTTTCCTTCGAGGTCTCTCTCGGTCTCGATCTCTCTCTCTCTCCCGCTCTCTCCTTAGCGATGGGCCCACCTCTGGCTCTGTATCATTGCCCAAGTCATCCTGACTTCCTGCGGCATTTGCACTGAATTAAAAGAGAAAAACACAATGATGAAAGGAGGATGCTTGACAGAAAAAAAATCTGTGAATCTTCATTGATTCATTCATGTTTCTTCAGCTTAGTCTCTTATTTATTTTTCAAGGGTCACCACAGTGGAATGAACCTCCAACTATTCCGGCATATGTTTTACACAGCAGATGCCCTTCCAGCCGCAACCAAGTACTGGGAAACACACATACACACTCACACTCACATACACACACATACACGACGGCCAATTTAGTTTATTCAATTCACCTATAGCGCATGTCTTTGGACTTTGGGGGAAACTGGAGCACCCGGAAAAAACCCACACCAACACAGGGAGAACATGCAAACTCCACACTGAAATGCCAACTGACCCAGCTGGAGCTAGAACCAGCGACCTTCATACAGGCCATGTCACCACAACGAATGATTTCAGAGGTTCAATAGCTGTATGTTTCCATCTAAAGCTGTGAATTAAACTGGGATATGGCATAAAAGATTTGCGAATAAAGCAGCGTTTCTATACAATCAGTCAAAGAGAACAAAATCGTCACTTCCTGATAAACTGGTGCCAAATATGAAAAGAAAGACAGAATTTGCTGCAGTAAAGAAGCTGCGTCTTTTCCTTATTTATTAAATTACTTTGCTCAAGACGGCTCATCTCCGTGTGGAGGGATTTCCCGCCGCAACCGGTTTGTCCGCTTAGCTCGTATAGTGTTACGTTGGCGGAGCGGAGCCCCGGAGGAGGAGGAGCCGGCCGCAGCGATGACCAGGTTCGAGTCTGGGGAAGAGCGGTTCCAGAAATCAGGTAAGATGAAAAACAGAATCCAAAAAATAAAAGCGAACGAGTTCATGACAGGGCGAGAATGCAGTGAAATCTAAAAACTCGGTCAAAATCGGACGAGGGCTTTTGCTTTTCTTTTCTGGACGGCTTTTGTAAATCGTTGCTTGGGTTTTGGGAAGGAGGAGGAGGGTGGCTGGGTCGGCCGATTAGCTGGCCGCCTAGTCGATCGTTCAGTCAGTCAGTCAGTCGGATAGACGGTCGCTCGACAGCAGGCTCTGGCGGCTTTTTATGCAAGAACAGCGCGCGCTCCCGAGAGGCGTTCGAGATGCGAAAAAGCGCACACATCGGCCTCTTGCGGATTCGCGAAAACAAAAACTGCACAAATATGTACCTCCAGAAAGGGCTACGTGTCCACCATGAGCCTGGGTTGGATTTTTTTAGATTTGTTTTATCTTTATGTTTGTATTGTTTGGGTTTTTACTAACATCTGGCTCAGTTCCATGTCAACAGCTCCTTTAGAAACATTATTTCCAGGAAAATACATGACGTGTTCAATACTTATTTAACCCGCTGTAGCAATTTTTGACTACAAATGTCAAAAATCACCTCAAAACAAGACAGAAGAAGAAAACTTTATAACGTTAAAAAAATGTTCTTTAACAGCAACTTTACAAATTAAAGCAAGCAAAGCATAATCTGACCCCTTTAGGACTAACCAATAAATGTTTCACAATGGTTTTTGAAGGCATCATAAATGTCAGCAGATCCCATGTGTGTCTGTGCCAAAGTACAGTGTTTAACTGTGATAAAAAATCCCGTCCGACAGTTCCGATGTTCACCAGCAGAGGGCGAGCACAGCTGTAATTAACTGCTCTTGTCTGTGTGTTCAGCCCATGAATAATTAACCTGCACACAAACACACTGGCGCAGAGGGGAGGCTTGCTGCCTGACGGACAGAACAGGAAACACACACACACAGACAGGAAACACCAGCAGGACAAACACATGTGGTTACACGCAGATAAAGAGACCCACTGACCAACAAAGCCACAAACAGACCAGTGGGAAAGCCACAAATGTGGAGGGCTGCATGCACTGATGCCGACAGGGAAATTATCACTGTGCTGTAGGGTTTTATCAAAATAAATCATACTGGCTTTATTTTGACCAACGCAGAGTGTGAAAATTGCACGGTGAAATAATAAACATTTGACATACCAGTAGAGCGCTACAGCACACGCCCTTTCTCAGCAGCCGTGATTCCACATTTACATTCAGTCATTTAGCAGACGCTTTTAACCAGAGCGACTTACAAATGAGGACAAGGAAGCAATTTACACAACTATAAGAGCAACAATGAATAAGTGCTGTAGGCGAGTTTCTGGTATGTAAAGTGTAAGAAGCAAAGCATTAGTAATTTATTTATTTAGGTTTGTAATACAGTTGGCGAGGCAGTGGCGCAGTAGGTAGTGCTGTCGCCTCACAGCAAGAAGGTTGCTGGTTCCAACCTCGGCTCAGTTGGCGTTTCTGTGTGGAGTTTGCATGTTCTCCCTGCCTTCGCGTGGGTTTCCTCCGGGTGCTCCGGTTTCCCCCACAGTTCAAAGGCATGCGGTACAGGTGAACTGGGTAGGCTAAATTGTCCGTAGTGTATGAGTGTGTGTGTGTGGATGTTTCCCAGAGATGGGTTTGCGGCTGGAAGGGCATCCTTGGGCAACAAGTTGGCGGTTCATTCTGCTGTGGCGACCCCGGATTAATAAAGGGACTAAGCCGACAAGAAAATGAATGAATGAATGCAATACAGTTAGCGGTAGTTGCAGTTGCAGATTAGGAAGGGAAGTGGAGACTAAATGGAGATTCCAGACATATTTGACCATTCAATTCCTCCAAAGGGATTTCAAAATGATACACAACAAAATACATGTTTGAAATCAAATAGACTTGCTCTTGAGAAAATAAAGTGTACACTGCAAACAATGCTTTCTTATTTAGATGTTTTAAAGCTGTTTCTATTCAAAATATTTTAAAAATCTTAAATCAAGAAGCATTTTCTAGACGAGCAAAACATTGTCAACATTTTTCTGAGAAAAATATGTCAAAAATAATTGAGATTTTTCTTAAAACAATCTAAATAATCTGCCAGTGGGGTTATAATAATAATAATTATAATTCCTTACATTTATATAGCGCTTTTCTGGGCACTCAAAGCGCTTTTTACACACAGTGGGGGGATTTCCTCATCCACCACCTGTGTGCAGCATGCACCTGGATGACGCGACGGCAGCCATTTTGCGCCAGACCGCACACCACACACCAGCTGATTGGTGGAGAGGAGACAGTGATGAAGCCAATTGGAATATGGGGATGGTTAGGAGGCCATGATGGACAGAGGCCAGTGGGCAGACTTGGCCAGGATGCCGGGGTTAAACCCCTACACTTTTCGAAGGACATCCTGGGATTTTTAACGACCACAGAGAGTCGGGACCTCGGTTTAACGTCTCATCCGAAAGACGGCGCTCACTGAGCAGTATAGCGTCCCCGTCACTATATTGGGGCATTAGGACCCACACAGACCGCAGGTTGAGCGCCCCCTGCTGGCCTCACTAACACCACTTCCGGCAGCAACCTAGCTTTCCCATGTGGTCTCCCATCCAGGTACTGACCGGGCACAGCAATGCTTAGCTTCAGTGGGCGACCATGTGAGAGTTGCAGAGAGCTAGCTGCCGGCAAAATAATCTTTTTTCAAACGGGAAAAAACCAAGATGACTTTGCTTACCCCATTGCCAGATTATTTCATTATTTCTTAAAACAAGACACTTGCTTTGCTTGTCTAGAAAATGCTTCTTGATATAAGAAATTGTACATATTTAAACTAGAAAAAAGACAAAAAATCTAAGAGAGAAAAGCATTTTTTGCAGTGAAAAATGAAAATACTGCAGTGTACAGTGTATACAGTGTACTGTATATAATAATATACCCTTACAAAGAGTACTTAATAATAACACTGCAAAAATGCTTTTCTTACTTAGAGTTTTTGTCTTTTTTTTCTAGTTTAAATATGTAAAAATTCTTAAATCATTAAGCATTGTTTCAGTAAAAATAATGTCATAATTAGGAGTTTTTCCTTAAAAATAGCGGTCCCACTTTATAATAAGTGTCCTTAACTACTGTGTACTTACATAAAAAAAATAAATACAATGTACTTACTGTGTTTATAATGTATTTGAGAACACTTGTGGTGCTTTTAAGTTGGGATAGAGGTTGAGTTATGGAGAGGTTTGGTGGCATGGGTAGGTTTAAGGGTGGGTTAAGGTGTAAGGGATGGTCAACAGTGCATTTACCAACGTAATAACAAAAGTTAATTACAGATGTCATTACATACATGTATTTAATCAAGCATAAGTACACAGTAAATACATGTGTTTACACAATAAGTACATTGTAACAAACTATTAATTCCTGTGTAAGTACATATTAGTTAAGGACACTTAATATAAAGTGGGACCAAAATAGCAAACTAATCTGGCAATGAGGGAGGCAAAATCATTTTATTTCTTGCGAAAACAAGATTATTTTGCTCCTTTGAAGGAAAAACTTTTAAAAATAATTTAAGTACAAAATGTATTTATTATTTCTGAAAAAAAGACCACATTTTTGGCTTGTCTAGATAGAAAATGATTTAAAGATAGAAAATGATTTAAGTTTGTGGGTATTTAAACTAGAAACAAGACAAAAACAGTAAGTAAAGCTTTTTTTGCAGTGAAAAATAAACTGAAAAAATTACTTTTACTTTCAAAATGCGATTAAAATAAAGGATTTTTTAAAGGAATCAGCTAAAATTAAGTGTTCTTTCTCAGTAGCATTAATTTTATGTAATTACTTGTATAATGTTTGAAATATCCTACAAGCGTATGGCCAAATATACTGACACACTTTTATCATGGAATAAAAACTTGCTTCGTGTTTTTACAATTACACATTTTACTGATGAAATTGCGATTTGGTGTATCTATAATTCTTTTTGTTTGGCATTTTTGCCTTTATTTGATAGGACAGTGGGATGAGGGGAAATTAAGTGGGATAGACAGGAGGGGGACAGGATCAGGAAACGTCCACGAGCCGAGGCTCGAACTCGGGACAACTGGAGCGATGTTGTGATATATATCCACGCACTAACCACTGGACTATCGGAACAGACCCTATTTGATATATATAAATTATTATCATAATTATAAGCAAACCTAAAAAGAGATGTGAGGATGGGTGAAGAAAAACAACCCAGCAGGCACACAATATCATAAGACGTTAATATTAGGTCAGATTTAATTCGTGACGTCAGGTGACCAAAATTCAATGTCTAGCCAGCATCTTAGGACAACGTCATTTTGATGTCTAATGATGACGTCAAATGTGACGTTGATATTGGGTTGGGTCATGACATCAAGCCGATTTTCCTTTCCAAACAAAATGCGACATCCCATGATGTCAGAGCACATCGTCAATCTGACATCATGTTGACGTCCTGTGACTGCTGGGTATATTCACTTTGAACATTGACTATCATTCATTCACTCATTTTCTTTTCGGCTTAGTCCCTTTATTAATCTGGGTTTGCCACAGTGGAATGAACTGCCAATTTATCCAGAATGTGTTTTACGCAGCGGATGCCTGTTCAGCTGCAACCCATCACTGGGAAACACTACTTGACTATTATAATTATTCTAAATAAATCTTTTGCAGTTTAATCAAGGCCAGTTTTGATTTAATTAGCTTAACAGGCCTAATAACGCTTCACCTCCACCAGGGTTTTTCTATCTCTTATCCGCTTTCCCATTGAAACGAGCA